AAAAAAAAAAAAAAAAAAAAAAACCCAAAAAACTATAAGATCAGGGGCTTGGCACCCATAGCTCAAGTGATTAGGGCGCCAGTCAGATACACCAGGGCTGACAGGTTCGAACACAGCCTGAACCTGCTAAAACAACAATGACAACAACAACAAAAAAATAGCAGGGTGCTACAGTGGGTGCCTGTAGTTCCAGCTACTTGGGAGCCTGAGGCAAGAGAATCACTTAACCCTAGGACTTTAAAGTTGCTGTGAGCTGTGATGCCACAGCACTATACCCAGGGTGAAAGCTTGAGGCTCTGTCTCAAAAAACAAACAAACAAACAAACAAAAAAACAATAGTAGAGCCAACATTTATCACTGAAGGCCTCTTCTATGTCAGGTTCCATGAGAAGGGCTTTATGCACAATTTTATTAGTCTTCAAACACCCTCTGGGAGGTTATATTATAATTATCTCCATTTTATAGATCAGGACTCTGAGGTTCAGAGGGGTTGAGTCATTTGCTAGGTATACAGAGAAAATATTAGGGGACATAGGACCCTTCACCTCCAAACCATACACTCGGTGTCTATAGCTAAGTGGTTAGGGCGCCAGCTACAAGCTCCAGGGCTGGTGGGTTTGAGCCCAGCATGGGCCTGCTAAACAAGGACAACTACAACAAAAAAATAGCCAGGCATTGGGGTGGGTGCCTATAGTCCCAGCTACTTAAAAGGCTGAAGCAAGAGAATCCCTTAACCCCAAGAGTTTGAGGTTGCTGTGGGCTGTGACCCCACTGTACTCTACCAAGGGGGACAAAGTGAGACTTTGTCTCAAAAAACAAAACAAAACAAAACAAAACACTCCAAACCTTATTATGTTAATCCTTTTTTTTGAGACAGAGCCTCAAGCTGTCTCCCTGGGTAGAGTGGCGTGGCATCAAAGCTCACAGCAACCTCCAACTCCTGGGCTCAAGCGAGTCTCCTGCCTCAGCCTCCCAAGTAACTGGGACCACAGAAGCCCACCACAACGCCCGGCTATTTTTTGGTTGCAGCCGTCATTGTTGTTTGGCGGGCCCGGGCTGGATTTGAACCTGCCACCTTAGGTGTATGTGGCTGGTGCCTTAGTCACTTAAGCCACAGGCAATCCTTTTGTTTTATTTTAATTCTAAGTATCAGGAACTATTATATAGTTGTAACTTTTCATAAACTATTCTTTTATTCACTCATATGTACCCTCTATAGTTACTTAAGAACTTTTCATTCTTTTTCCAAAATTACTTTGCTTTTGGAAATTTAAAAAAACACATACAGGCTGGGCAAAGTGGCTCACACCTATAATCCCAGAACTTTGAGAGACCAAAGCAGGTGGATTACTTGAAGTCAGGAGTTTGAAGTTGCAGTGAGCTACAATGACTGCTGTTGGAATCTACCTGGGGTAATAGAGTGAGATTCTATCGCAAAAATACATACATACATACATACATACATGTTCTTCTTCTTCTTCTTTTTTTTTTTTCTCTGTCTCATTCTGTTGCCCCATGTAGAGTGCCATGGTGTCACCATAGCTCACAGCAAGCTCAAACTCTTGGGCTCAAATGATCCTCTTGCCTGTGTTTTCCTATTTTTACTGTAGTCAGGGACTCACTCTTGCTCAGGCTGGTCTCGAACTCCTAAGCTCAAGCAATCCACCTGTCTCAGCCTCCCAGAGTGCTAGGATTATAGGCATGAGCCACCACACATGGCCAAATGCAAATCTTTTTTGGTTTTTTTGTTTGTTTTTTTGAGACAGAGTCTTACTACGTAGCCCTCGGTAGAGTGCCATGGTGTCACAGCTCACAGCAACCTCAAACTGCTGGGCTTAAGCAATTCTCTTATATCAGCCTTCCAAGTAGCTGGGACTATAGGTGCCTGCCACTATGCCCAGCTATTTTATTTTTTTGTTGTAGTTGCCATTATTGTATGGCAGGCTTGGGCCGGGTTTGAAAGCACCAGCCCCAGGGCATGTGACCAGCACCCTAGCCACTGAACTACAGGCGCCAAGCATGTTTTTTGTTTCTTTTAAGAGACAAGGTCTCACCACATTGCCCAGGTTAGAGTGGTAGAGGTTATTTATAGTTATGATCATAGTGCACTCCAGCCTCACTATGGCCTCAAGAGATCCTCCTGTCTCGGACTCCCTGAGTAACCACAACTATAGGTGAGTGCCATTGTGTTCAGGTAAGCAATAAAAATCTTGACTGTTATTGTTTGGATGAAATGCACTTTAGAATTCTGAATATCACCACCTGGCATGACTTGAAAACCTAATGTCTATGGTGACAGTCTCTGAATTTTACACTTGAACCTGCATGCAGATGATCTGGAACCTTGTTCAAATATCAGCTTCATTCTCATAGCTTGTTTCACTCATTCTGAGAATGTGAATTTCTATAACTTTTGTTCTTTTTCTTTTTTCTTTCTTTCTTTTCTTTTTTTTTTTTTTTTGCAGTTTTTGGCCAGGGAGTTTGAAGGTGATATCCATCATATGGGGCCAGCGCCCTACACCTTTGAGCCACAGGTGTCGCCCTCCTTTTTTTCTTTTTTTCTTTTTAAGAAATGGGGTTTTATTTTGTTACCCAGGTTGGAATGCAGTGGTGAGATTATAGCTCACTGTAGCTTCAAACTCCTGGGCTCAAGCAATCCTCCCAACTCAGACTGCTGAGCTGCTAGGACTATAATAGAGTGCCATCATTCCTGGCTCATTTCTACAACTTTCTGATACCGCTAGTCTGGAGTCCACACATTGAGAATGACTATAATAGACCAATGACAGAGAGCAAAAGGAAGTACTAAAATCCACCATTATACAACTGGGACAACGATGCGTAGAGTATCACGACAGACATGGAGACCTCTGGGGCTGACTCAGGCTCATATGATGACTGCTGCCAACACCAATGTGAAAAAATGTCAGAGAGGAGAATACTGGGTCCTTTCCTCCATTGGAAAGCCTCATCCTGGAGTTAATCTTTGAGAGTTGAGGCTTTGTGTCATACTAAGGAGGCCCTGCCATCCTTAGGATCAGAATGGTCTACTAAAGGAGTAGAGGCTGAAGAAACCTATTTCAGGCTCGGCACCTGTAGCTCAGCAGCTAGGGCACCAGCCATGTACACCAGAGCCAGTGGGTTCAAATCCACCCTGGGCCTGACAAACAAACAATGACAAAAAAATAGACAAAAAATTGCTTTTTTTTTTTTCAGAGACAGAGTCTTACTCTGTTACCCTGAGTAGAGTGCTATGGCGTCACAGCTCACAGCAACCTCCAGCTCTTGGGCTTACGTGATTCTCTTGCCTCAGTCTCCTGAATAGCTGAGACTACAGGCGCCTGCCACAACACCCAGCTATTTTTCATTGCAGTTTGGCTGGGGCCAGGTTCGAACCCACCACCCTAGGTATATGGGGCCAGTCCGCAAGGGCATTGCTTAAGTCCAAGAGTTTGAGGTTGCTGTGAGCTGTGACACCACGACATTCTACCCAGAGCTATAGCCTGAGACTCTGTCTCAAAAAAAGAAAAAAGAAATCTATTTGATAGTGACTTACGTTCCACTTTCTCTTCCTGGTGCTGCCTGGAAGGGTGTATCCCCCTCACCACACATTCTTCCCAGGCAGTAATTTTCCTACACTCTGGAAGGAAGTAAGGGGGCGGGTGTAGCTGCTCCAAAGTCCCAGCCTGCCTACACTTTTGCCATTTCTTTCTCCCCTCAAGAATTGCAGATTTCCTTAGTTCCTCCCATGTCTTTTAAAAAACTAAGCTAATTTAAACACACTCAAAGATGTAGGGAGCATTAGATAATGTTCTTGATATACCACATCCTGTACACAGCAAGAAGTTGGTCACGTAACAAACCCACATGCCGAGTCACTTTCCCGGGAGGAGAGAAGACAGGAAAAGATAGGAGGGGGAGCATCATTCCTACCTGGCAGTCATAAAAAGGGTGTCCCCGCCAGCACATCACATCTAGAACATAGTAGGTCTGGTTCACCTCACTGTAAATGCAATCTAGAATGGTGTAGTCTAGGGACACAAAGCAGAAAGTTAGACCAGGGTTCACCTTTCTTTTTTTTTTTTT